TCTCTGATTGGATATCCTACCTCGTGGTTACTTCCTAGGTGTCTACCAGATCGGCTTTGTCCAGGGGGAAACAAGCTCGCGCCAGCATTTCGTACTTCTGCTACGCTTCCGTACAATTGAAGTAGTAGGGTCCGAATGTATCGAGGATCGCCATTGATAAGAAGAATCTCGACATTTTGTGATAATTGGGCACATACGTGAATGTATGCACCAACACAAGTCAAACAGGCACGTTTCACGTTTTCGTTTGATCGAGGAGAAGCTTCCTCGTCTTCCTCCGAGTAAGAATCATAACGTTGAACATCCTGATCTAGCTCTTCCACATGTGTTTTGGCATTGTAAAATACCCTCTCCAAAGTTGACTTCTTCTCGCCAGGATTCCGAACCAGGCCAATCAAGGTTTCAATAAGAGGATGGACTTGAAACAAAGCGTACAGTACACCTTTAGCCCCTTCAATAATAGGATCTGGGGAAGTAGATTCTCGTTTGCGTTCCGGTAAGCTTGATAAGCGGCGGACGTAGGTAGCTCTCTGCCCCGCCGAATCTGCCGGGCTTGCTGGGCTAATCGTATTGCCATTAGACCCAGTACCATTACCCTGCATTGCAGATCCATGACTGAGGCCCCTGTTGTGGAGACTGTAACGATTCGATTTGTTCGTCTCGTCGACCGTCCCTAACTCCGCCGCCTTCCTTGAAACGATACCCATTCGTCGCGAGCGATCCGTTGAAGAGCGGTCCGGTCGATCACGATTAGCCTGCAAAAGGCTCTCGCTGTTACTGCGAACCCTTTCGTTTGTGCTTCCAATTGTGAGAGGCATTACCCCAGGTCGTCGAAGCGCTGCGTTTTGTTGCGAGAAACCTCTTTGGTGTGATCTAGAAGGTATAGGTGGTGGTCGAGGTTGAGCTGGCGATGGGGGAACGCCGTCGACCTTTATGGGGAAGCGACCACTCACAACACGCTTCATCGTAGGCCGTGGAGTCTCGGTACCCTCGCTCGATTCTTCTCCGCCAGATTCGGTTTCGGGTCGACCCATGGCTTTGGACCTCAAGAATCTTTTGATCTGTGCTGTGACAGCAAGATCATCTATCTCACCTTCTTGGAGGGGACCGCCGCTAGGGGAGTTCAAAGCTTGCGCCTGAAGGATCTCTTTGGGTGGAAATCTCAGGGGATTCCCATCCAGTTTCAGGATTTGAAGAGATGTCATATCTGCCACACATAAAGGAAGTTCCTCAATCCTGTTCCTTTGAACGGACAAAACCTTCAATGATGTCAAATTTATAATGCCCGGTGGCAACGTCCGTAGTTTATTTCGTCCAAGGTCGAGAATTTCGAGGAAGTTTAACTGGCATATCTAAAACAAAGTCAGCGTCTTTGAGCTTGCCTCACGCTATTTTGACCTTGCATACTGCTGAAGGGAATTCTCGAATGATGTTGTTTCGAAGGTTCAGATATCGTAACGAGGTACATTCTGCGAATCTGGAGGGGAATGTTTGGATCTCGTTGTGGGATAATGCAAGTCTGTACCATGAATATGCATTAGTTATCATTAAAAAATATATTTAATTTCCGAGATGCTGGAAAGAGCTCAACATGTGAGACAAGTTCCAAGCCTCATGCAAGGAATGAAAGATTATAAATACCGTACGAGTTCGACTTTTATGATGTCGACAACCTCTTCTGGAAATCTTTGTATACGTCTATGGCTCAAATCGATCGTGACTCCTGGCATCAGCTCGTTGCTGACAGCGCTCGACTCTGCAGCTTTCACTATGTTTTCCTCCAAAGCCTTATTCATAGATTCCCGTACTAAGGCGACAACTTGCCCTTGCGATGGCGGGACTTTGGAAGATAGCGAAGAGTTCGACTGAGCATGCCGAAGGGGAAGACCACGTCGAGATGCGCTTAGATTCTGTGGTCTAGGACCTGGGCCTGGAACTGGCATGCCATTTTCGAATTTCGGTCGACCTGATGACATTATTGCTGCTCCAAGGGGAGGACCAGTGGGACCCATGATATCTTCCACTCCAACCTTTTCAATAATGTTGTCGGTGTTTTCCGTAAGATGTGGCTGAGGATGTTTCAACACTTTCTTGTTTCGCGAAAAAGGGACCAGACCCTTATCAACTCGATGGGAACTACTTAAGAATCCGTGCCTTTGAATGGGCGGTAAAGTTGAGAATTGGTCGAGAAGAAAGGACAAGCAGCATAATGAGGGGTTTATGTCCTATGTAACACCATGCATCCGTAATATTTTCAAGAAGGGGCAATATTCGAGGGTCTTCTCTCTCTTCTGTCGCAATTGAACTGCTTGTTGTCACATTGATCATTTCTCTAGCATCATGATTTTCGGTTAAGCTTTCTCGAAATAGGTAAGCGCCGGCTTTAAATTGATGCAGGTACCGATGTGTTTAATAAAATATGCATTTCTCCCTTTGATTTTGAGTACGACGGCAGTGTAACCTCAGAACTTATATCTTCATACTTTCATGGAGGTGATACGTTAAGTTAGAAGATAGTTAAGACCACAGAATTTTTCATCTATCTTCATTGTTGTCTGTATCACATCCAAAGGGTTAGAGAGGTTCTTGACAACTCCTGCCTGCTAGATACATTTTGATATCGTTCTTCCTCCAGCTTTACTTGATCCTTACAAATGGATCTTGACTGTTCAGATGATAAACAATCATTGATAGATCTCAGATCATACTAAGTCTTTGATTTCAAACCAGTTCCATAATATACTTCAATATATTTGCTGTGTTATACAGAACCCCAGAATATCTTCTGCTGGAGGCTGAATCACCAAACAAAACGAGCAAAGACATTGTGAGAAACCAAGAGTAAGGATATTTTCTACTGACAAAGAGAAGGCATTCGATTTGTTCACACTTCAGGAGTCTAATAACTGATAAGTTTCCTTCTGCTACACTACAATAGCAAACGACTAAAACCACCCAACTCTCCAAGATCTCCCCTCTGAATTCTTACAAAATGCCCTTGTCAAGGACCCTTTCAAGATCCGATTCTTGTGTTGACATTGACTTTACATTGCGCCGTATATTCAAAAAGACCTCATTCAGGTAGCCCCCCTTGGCAATATTTCCCAAAATGTAAGCTAAAATTTCTCAGGCCCTTACAGCGAGAGGTTATCGTTGCTGCACTGGATGGACACGATGTTTTCATTCAGGCTGCCACTTCATTTGGGAAAAGCTTATGTTTCCAACTGCCTGCAGTGATCGATCAAGGGAGTAAGTCTCGACGCCTGTTTTCATTCATCTCTCAGCGCCAATACTTACGCCTTCAGTAACCATTGTTATCTCGCCATTACTTTCATTGATGGTAAGTCAGAATCAGCCATGCGTTTCTCTATACTTACATCAAGCTAGACCGATCAAGTAAATGCCTTACAGTCTGCAGGAATCGTAGCGGGTACCATTAATGGAAATACAGCTTGGCCCGAACGACAACGACTCCTTGCAGACCTTGAATCTGGTCACCCCCTAACAAGACTTTTGTATGTGACTCCTGAGTATTGCTCTACAGACAATTTCCGCAAACATCTTCGCACTGTGCATGAACAGCGAGAGCTTGCTAGGATTGCCGTTGATGAAGCACATTGTATTAGCGAATGGGGCCATGACTTTAGAAAGTCCTTCAAGAATCTCTCCTGGTTCCGAGAGACATTTCCTGATATACCAATTATTTGTTTAACGGCAACAGCTACGGATCAAGTACGGCAAGATGTTATAGGCACTATGGGTCTCTCAGAAACAAATTTGAAGGTTTTTAGAATGTCAACGAACCGCGAGAACCTTCATTATGAAGTGAGATTCAAATCAGATGAATCAGACCATTTCAATGATTTCTTACATTGGCTCAAGGGTGTTCACAGAAATCGAATGGAAAACCCAGAACGTCGGGCCGAACTGGAACAGAAGCGTGAACGCTTGGATAATGTGTCAGGAATTATCTACACTCTTTTTAGGCAAGATTGTGAGAATCTCGCGTCTAGATTGAGACATAGCGGAATAGGGGCCAGAGCCTACCATGCCGGACTCACTCACGAAGAAAAGACCGAAACATTAAATCGATGGATCAATAATGATAAGGGCTATGACGTGATAGTTGCGACAACCGCCTTTGGCATGGGTATAGACAAGGAAAATGTACGGTTTGTTATTCATTGGCAAATTCCAAAATCTTTCGAAGGCTTCTACCAAGAGGCTGGACGAGCCGGAAGGGATGGAAAGGCCAGCATACATATTATGTACTACAGCCGCGAAGATCGTGACCGAGCATACAACAGAGTTTCTCGAGATGCCAAAGAAAGAGTCAATCTAGAAGCTAGGATTAATAGCTTGAAAGCTTTGGTTTCATACTGCGAAGAAACTGATGAATGTCGACACAAGCTGATCTGCAAATACTTCGGAGAGAACGAAGTGCCTGCTTGTGATTACGCTTGTGATTGGCACAAAGACGTGAAAGCTTTGAAGAGAGCAAAGCTCAACAATTTGATGACTGAAGAATTTGTTAGCACACAAAGAGAACAAGGCCGCTTCGACAATGGATATGATGAGTATGATTGATCATAATATCTTTATCTTGCTAGCTTATCATGGCAATGGCTAAGTACTGCTTACATTTGGTGCACGCATGTTGGGAATGCCATTGGGTTAGTTATACCCCAGGGAATCCACTTTAGAAGAATGATTGCTACAAAGCAGGTTCCATGCCCATGGAAAACACGAATGAAAGAGCCTATTTTCCCTCACTACCTACCCTTTTGAGAATATTGAAAGATATTGCTATTGTAAAAGAGAACAACCCAAACTGTATTGACGGTCGAATGCTATATATTCTGGGCTTTCGACCATCAGCATTGCCACTCAATTCAACAAGATCACTCGCTTTTCATTTTAGCAACCCATTTTACTTACAATCCATTTCAACACAGCACAACTTCAGCTCTCGAATTCGGACAACATCAAACGATTTCACCATGAGTAACGATGTTCCCAATGATTGGTTCCTGGTAAAGCTGACTCGATGGGAAGACGGCCACGAAACCAGTTCGGCTCTCCTCCCTGTGAACATTTCTGCCGGTGACACGCCATCTGGCCTCAGAAACGGGCTTCAGTCTGTTTACAAGCGCATTTGGGATTACTTCACTGTTATAGAGAGAGATGGTAGCTCCTCCGACCGAACCAATCTTCCTTTGGGAGCCGCCCTTAGACAAGGTGATGGTATCGAAGGTTTGAGCGTTGATTGGCAAGGCCTTTCGGCTGGCGACTGGCCATCGCAGCGGACTCTTGTGACGGAATTCAACCTATCTGGAGTTGTGAGACATCAAAATTTCTCATTTTCTCCTTCTTTTTTCATTCATGAGGTCGTCTTCTGCAAACATAATATAACGATGGGGAAAGCTAACTTGATGGTCTTGGCATAGCGGGGAAAGTTATCGACGAATAACAATGCAGTCATCCACTGTGTTGTCAAAGACAGTAAACTCGACGGAATTGCCTGGTGCCCCCCAAACAATTAGGGCATTTTAGTCTAGGATCAGATACATGAGACGAACCGAAAGTGCTTATGAGAGCAGGATTTCAGAACGCGAGCCTCATTTCTGCAGTGTGCATTGGTTGTCTCGAAGGATTCATGAGAAAGGAGAATCGGAAAGTGTGGGGTTTTTGGGAGTGAAGAAAATGGGCGAAAGCATTTTGAGGTTAACATCAATAACATCATGATCTCGTCTTGTCTAGTAGTTGATAAGTGGTGATATGTCTTAAGGTACAGAGACTGGTATGATTATGAAAGCCTTACCTAAAGCGCCAGCGGCAGATGCAATCCCGCCTCCATGAAACCTTTACCCTGCTCCCGTCAATTCCATTGATTTATCCTTTTATCACTCGTCTCACCTCCTTCATCTCATCTCTTGGTCCACCCCATTCTGATAAGAAAGAACCTCCTATCTGCACACATCCAACAATTCAACAATATCTCAAATATCCAACTTCTATATTCCATCCCATCACAGTCTCCTAGGCGATCATTATTCCGCCCGCCCAGTAGCCATTTCACCCTTCCCACCAAAATGGTTGTTGCACCCCTGAGCCCGGACCAGTCTACATGGAATAAATCTGGATCCACTCTCCTTAACTCAACTCCAAACCTGAAAATAGATATGTATGCTTCCCAGACCCTTCCTCAGACCTTGACATTACACTAACAGCTCAGAACTTCGGGAGCGGAATGTAGAAGTTCAGCTGGGCAACTGATCACATCTCTCTTCTTCCCCAAGTATAACAAATTGATGTCTATTTACTAGCAATACAATACAAATACTTCGGTTGGTAATGTGTCTGTCTTCATTCTTAATTTACGTCAAGTACCATCGGTTCAAGTACCGAAGGGGCAGTTTAATAGGACCATCAATAATTGCTCAGATACGAAGATATTACTGACGGATTTACCAGAGCAGTCAAGTGCAACTTTGTATAGACATCAATAGCGTGCACCAAAGACAGTGGATTCTGTTAATGCATTGTATATCCATTTTCATACCCTCTTGTATGTATGTTATGTGGGTAGTACCAAAAGACTCCGTGACATCTGAGACTTTCCCAGTCTCGCCCATAGTTATCCATTATGCCACACTCCTATCTACTCCAATTAGAGGCCATGTAAGAGTGTAAGGGGGTCATAAATCATCGTTCCCACATCCAAACCAAACGCCCCAAGAAAACGGAACCCCAATCCATACTCCCAATTACCCATCAAATATCTTTTGGGAGAAATTGCTTTTTCGAAGTTTTTTTCCCGTCCCTTCCTGTCACCGGTACAAGAACTCCTAACTTTCCACCCCTAATCGCCAATTGGATATCGTCTCGACTATCATCATCTCCCACAAAGATCGAACCACCTTTTCTGTCCGTCTTGGGAACATATTCTTTGTTCTGATTAAGATGCCAACCCCTATCAGCTCTCTCCTTTCTCACTTGTGCCGTAAGTAATATCCCGAAATTCGCTTTCTTTCCACCCCGTGCGTCGATTTCTTTGCGTTTAGCCTCGTACCAACTCTCAGATTGTTCTTTTGGCCAGACGACTCTAGGATCAATATTACCCCAGATTTGCATTTCGGCGGCGTTATCTGATTGGGGCATAATGTTCTGTTCTTTTTCAACCTCAGCCCTAGCCTGTGATTCTTTTTGTAGATCTAGATAATGATCAAGAACGCTGGGATCATATGTTAAGCAGCGCAATTGACGTTGATACTCGATAGTGTTGGGCTTGTAATCGCCATAAAGTGGCGCAGAGTGCTTCGGCTCTTGCTGATTCGGACTCTGTTGGTTCGATCTCTCCTGGTTCGGTCCCTCCTGGTATAATTCTGAAACCGTAGACTCCAACTCCCGAGAATTTTCGGTGGGCTGGAGAGGTATAAACTGATTCATTGCATTATTGGTGATTTTTTGATGAAGTACTTGCTTAGACGGAGCTATCTTTCTTGCAACCATAGTTTCAGCTTTTTGCTTCTGAGCTGGACATAAGACGTCGCAGTTTTCACTTTCTGGGTTAAGGAACTGCATGTTTTGAGCTGTGGTATCTAGATTAGACTTTGGTGATATAGGCTTTAATGGCTTCCTGATCAAAGGAATTGTTAGAAATGGGCTCGTAGAAGAAGCTGCCGAGGATTGTTCCTCGACAACCTCGTTTCTGTCGAGGAGGGAAGCTTTGCTATCAGGATTCTGATTCTCCGTAGAGGTTAATACTGTTTCAAGCGGTCGTCCAATTTTCTGCAAAACTCTGAGCTCGTCTTGTATTTGAGAGCCAGGGCTATCGTCCTGTTCAATGTCGAGTTGCTCCGCGTCAGATTGCCAAATATTGACATCACCGTCAACTTTATCTGGCGACGGTGGTTCGTATTCTGGCGAACAGCTAATATTATCTTTGACTTCACCTGGCGGTGGAGGCTCATACTCTGGCGACGATGGGAGTTCTGACGTTGATTGAATTATGGTTCGACTCGGAATTTTAGGTCTGAATGGGTTATATTAGACATATTCACTCAGTTTTCAATACATTAAACTTACACTTCCCGGCTACCGTCCATATTCGGTGCTTTGCTTGTTCTCATTTGTGATTGAAGGAGTTTCCTCGATGTGGGAGAATGGGGCAAGTTTTCAGCCCGGGGAGGTCGCGGTCCTAGAGTCGACAACGGGCCCTCCGAATTTGAAGTCTCCTGAGGTCTTGCGGTTGATTTATCATTGGAAACTGACTGAACAGAAAAACTACTTGGAGGCATTTGTTTATTATTCAAATCTCCAGGCTTTCTACCTCGTTTACGCTTCATTCCTTGCATGTCCTCGTCATACTTGACAGGGTAAAGTCTTGTTTTTTTAATGGGTTTCGAGACCGGTCTTGACATGGCTGATATTTGTGCTTTGCTAGCAAGCTTAGACCTCTTATTTTTCTCTGTCATCTCGTGCAGAGTACACAAGACTCTATCATCTTTGGTTTTACCCAACATGCTGTAAATCTGCTTGTTGCATCCAGGTATCTCACACACACCGCCCAGCGATTGCCTCTCTGGCGAAAACTCTGTTGGTGGTAGGCCATGTTTTCTAATACAATGATTGCAGTACCAATCACTATTTAATTTTTAGCGATTGCCAACTAGCACAAGGGGAGATATTACATACGTGATGTCAGCTCCAACCGGTGGACGTGGCTTATGACAACTAGCATGCCATCGGGCTAAACATTTTGAACAACGATATAAAGGATCGAGTACGAGTTCCTCTCGTTTACACACCAGACATTTTATGGCTTTGCTAGTAGTTGAGAGTGAGGCGGTTGAACTCGTCTCGTCGAGCTTGTCTTCGGACTGAGCTTGAAACTAACAAGTTAGCAAATCTCTTTGAACATGATAGTCCAAATTTGTCAAAGAAGAGAACTGATTTTGTCTCAGGTCTTTTCAGTCTATAAAGAGTCGTCATATGGCTTGCTCCAGCGGTTGTGCAATGAGTTGTAAACAACCAATGTACGTCTTAACTGACTTCTACAGAAGATCGAGTCCCTTTTGCAGCAATTTCAATCCCGCTTTCTATCACAGCCTTTGGTCATACATCTTGGAGCCATGTGATGTCTAACTCCGTATAGCAATAGTGTCCAAAGACATCAATTTGCCCTCATATTTTCATTGTTGAAGCTGATAGCCTTGAGCTAGAACAGTCTTGCCTGAAATGGAGGACGCCGCCAGGGTTTGATAATCGCAAAAGGTAGTATCATCGACCATAGCAAGGAGACAGTATAACCAAAGCAGAACCAGAAGAAGCATTTTTGAGCACTCAGACCTTTTACCAGATGTTCATCATTGACATATGTATGAAAGTCAAAAAGTGAGAGTTCTACATACGCCTGCATTTCTTTTTATGCTTGAGAATGATTGCGATCTGAAATTATTGTCGAAGTTAGTTGCTGATCTGGTTGGAGCGACCTGCTTGCTGTCAAAGTCCATATTTTCTCGACAGAAACTTCAGAATAACGATAAGAGTTCTAGTCCTCCATTCTCAAATCTTCTTTCTCAACCGTATAGTTGTACCTAAAGGAAGAGGCATCAGGTTGTATCGTGAAATGTGTTGAGATGTCGGGTATATCAAGCATGAATAAATAAAAGAAGACGCGACTGTGGACGAGACGTTAGGCACGGGTGCACGGGTTTTTGCGGCCGCTGGTCATTGATTTTGCCTAAATACACCGCCTCGTTTTGTGCTTGATTTGGTATAGCGAGGGTCAATCATCGAATCGATAGGCAAAGCTGTCTACTTCTCTTTCACAATTATTTAATACCACCTTACTGAGTATTGTATTCTTAGCATTTTTCTTATTGCAGATTGCTTATGGATTTCTTGAAGTCTGCAGTCGCATCTGCGATATCAAAGGGACCTCCATTTCCCTACACATTCGGGGATCAGGTTGACATAGAGCAATCCATATGGAAGTTATACAATGGAACCAAAAGAGTATGCGCCAGAGATGATTTTGGTACAGAATATGGAATTAATGGTATCATAGGAAGACGGTTCTAATTGTAGTATATTCTCCTTCGATGTTAGCGCAAACAAGTCTCGATTACCCCTAGCCAAAAATGCAGTTAAGAAGCTTCGAACGTTGAGACATCCTGGAGTTATCAAAGTGCTGGACACAGTCGAGGTATGAATGATCAACCATCGAATTATGTGGTATATCTGACTTGCGATATGGGAATAGACCGACACATACATCTATATCGCTACTGAGAGAGTGGTTCCTTTGAGATGGCATATCAAGAGAAAGAGCATGAGCCCGGAGACATTGAAATGGGGATTATTTAGCATAGCAGTAAGTTTATGGTTAGTACCATCTGTTATGCTTAAGTCTAATGGAACATATAGCAAACAATTAAATTTGTCAATGACGAGGCATCGTCCGTCCATGGAATGCTTCGAGTAGGATCGATCTACACAAGTGAGAGTGGGGAGTGGAGAGTTGGAGGATTCGAGGTATTAAGCAATATGAATGATACTGAGGCAATTATTTATGTGAGCAATATGCGTTTCCGGTATATGGAATACCGAATGCTAAATCCTGCAGAACTATGGCAGTCTTGTACCCGATGCCGGACGATACACTCCACCAGAATTGGCGAATACTGGCTGGGATTCTATCAAGAAACACCCAATATATGCGACTGATTCTTATAATTTTGGAACTTTGATTTTTGAAATCTTCAATGGGGACTTCACAGGGGGTGATCAAGCCGGCCAGACAAAGAATATACCTCCCAGTATGCAGTCAAGCTATAGACGTTTGGTTAATAGCAACCCCAAAGCTCGACTGAGCGTTGGCCATTTCCTTGAGCAAGGTCGTCGAAGTGGAGGTTTTTTTGAGACTCCCCTTATCAAGCTTACTGAAGGCGTAGATAATCTAGGGATGAAAACGGAAGCTGAACGAGAAGAGTTCTTGAGGTAAATTATCATATCAAAAGCACACCGAATTTAAGCTGACTTGTGGAGCGACCTTGATGAGCTTTCAAATGACTTCCCGGAGGATTATTTCAAGATGAAGATCCTTCCAGAGTTACTGAAATCTGTTGAATTTGGGGGTGGTGGTCCAAAAGTATTTAGTGTTGTTACGAAGATTAGCACTAAGCTTACAGATGACGATTTTGAAGCAAAGGTCACACCTGTTGTCGTTCGACTATTTAGCAGTCCTGACAGAGCTATTCGGGTGTGTCTTTTGGACAATCTTCCCCTTATGATAGATCGACTACCACAGAAAGTGGTCAATGATAAAATCTTCCCCCAAATGGTAAGGGTAATTGCGCTTTATTTGCAAGCACATGCTGATTGAAACAGGTCACTGGCTTTACGGATCTTGCACCGGTAGTACGAGAGCAGACAGTTAAAGCAGTATTGACAATTATTGGGAAATTATCAGACCGGACAATTAATGGAGAATTGTTGAAATATTTAGCCAAAACTTCCAACGATGAACAACCTGGTATTCGAACAAACACGACAATCTGTTTGGGCAAAATTGCCAAGAATCTGGGAATTAGCACGAGATCAAAGGTGTTAATCGCCGCTTTCACAAGGTCCCTTCGCGATCCATTCGTTCATGCTAGAAATGCAGCCTTATTAGCATTAGCTGTCACAGCTGACTCATTCAGTGATGATGATTGCGCTAATCGCATATTACCGGCGTTATGTCCTAGTCTAATAGACAAGGAGAAACTCATTCGAGACCAAACAAACAAGACAATGGACGTTTACCTGCAGCGTATTCGCAAATCTGCTGCCGCAATGCCTGATACTGCCTTACCACCACCCACCACAGGTGAAGCTGCCTCATCATCTACACCCCGAATGAGTACGCCACAGCCTAGTGATGCAGGTTCGTCATGGGCAGGCTGGGCTATTTCTTCATTCACCAATAAAGTAGCTGCTGCAACTGGTGAAATTCAACCATCGAGTGGTGCTGTGACTCCAGACGCACGTCCAACATCAGCACGACAAGAAAATGAAGCTCGTCATTCAACTCAGTCTGCATCGGCTTTGCATCGCCAAGCTGTGACTTCACCAGCTGTTACTTCAGCTAACACGCCTTCGGCCAGTCACTCTTATTTCGGAGATGCGAACGCAGGAGAGGACGATATAGAAGCATGGGGTGACATGGAAGAGGATGCCTTCTTCGATGCTCCTAGCGAATCGGCATCAAAAAATACTGTAGCCCCATCTTCGACTGCAACCCCCTTCGAAGATAATGGCGAACCGGATTTCGCGGGTTGGTTAGCAGCCCAACAAAAGAAACCAGCTCAAAAGTCATTACCAAAAGGCTTGGCCAAGCCCGCAGCGAAAACAAACGGAAGACCTTTATCATCGTCAAGAACTACCACAACTAGTTCTTTGGGAACGAAAAAGGCAGCTCCTGTAGCGACTAAGCCAGTTGTGGCTAAGAAAATAGATACAGCTCCAAAAGCTACAGATGAGGATGCTGATTGGGGAGATGGTTGGTAGGTAGATCGAGAATCTAGTTTTGTGAGCGGACAATGAGGTTTGTGTATGTCACTGGGCTTGCGTGAAAATTGGCATGGCGTACTGGGTGAAACTGAGAGGGAAAATTGAGCATCAAAAGGCGAGAAGGCGTTTGAATTATTAATTCTTCGGCGATTCACAAGTTCGTTCGTGGTTAGGATGGATACTAGATACCTGGATCGCATACGAGTGCTTCTGCGAAAGTAATATGAATTGAGAAGTCTTTATATGCAAAGCATTCCTAATTTGGACCCCTGAGTTTGTTGTGTATATGAAACCTCATTGGTGGAAAATCCAACGGAAATTTAAGACAGTATAACATAGGCTTATATCCCCTAGACCGCCAACTCAGGACTCCTTTGTGGTCCGTGCGCTGAGTAAGAACATCAATAACCTCATAAATACAGATAAATCTGAATATACAGGCCTAAAAATTTCGAGACCTAAATACCCGTATATAGAGGTTTCCTGTATAATAAGGTCAAACAATAAGGTATCAACTTTGAATAGCTTCAATTTTTTCTATTAAAATATTTTAATAATAAGTTCTACTACCAATCTATAATTGTTTTTAATATTAAATCCTATTCTTTTTATTCTAATAATTTCTTTAAATATAAATTTTCAATATTTTACTATTTCTAAAATGAAATTAAAATTTTAATAGCTTTAAAAGCTTTAATATTATTAATAACCTTTTCTTAAACAATTTCATCTATATCTTTTTCATTCTATTTTATTATTTCTCTTTTTACTATAATTATATTGATAAATAAATTCAGATTATTTTTTCTATTAATTATACATTTTGAATATAATAATATATACTTCTTGATATCGGATATATTAATAATAATATTTAGTATATATAACTATATTAAAATCAATCGTAATACTTTTAATCCTTTCTCTAATTTTTTTTATATATTATATAACATTTTAGGGTATAAGCTCAGATTAATATATTCTGATTTATTCTAGCAATTCGATATAGTACTAACTTTAATATCATTTCAAGCTTGTATTCCCTATCAAATGAATTTCAGTATATTAAGCTTCCGGGAGTAGTTAAGGTCTTAATCAAAGCATTTAATTATATAATATAGGTACTGAGTGATATCGTAGATGGAGTTTCCAATTAACTATAATACCTTGATCAAGAGGTTGATGCTTTGCTGTAATATTAGGTAATAGGAATTCGATTTTAGTATTAATAAGATATTGAATAATTGTATAGACAAGGGAATTCATTCAAGGGAATTCACTTTAAAGGATTCACTTCAATACAATAGCAAACTGTATTAAGGGTATTAGGCGAAAGCGAAGGAGACTAGCTCTTTCAGTAGTGCCTATATAAGGCCTACTATTTCCCTCATTTAGCTAGCTCCTTAGATTGAATACAAATAGACATTTAGGGGCCTACACATAGTAGGAACCACGTCTTCCGTATCTCTCTCAAACCAACAATAATATTAGTTTTTTTAATATTAATATATAAACCGAGAAGTTATTTATTAATAAAAGCATTTTCTTTTTTCAAGCTTTTATTAGATTATCAAACTATATAAGGTATTCAAAAAAGATTCTATTCCTTATCTAAGTTTTTTTATTAAATCAATATTTAACTTCTAGATTATCAAAATTTATAAACCTAATTGCTCTAAATGTATTAGATATTTTAGTTATATTTATTATTTAAAGAGAGAGCTTGTTGGTTCTAAAAGTATTTATAGTAAGATTGAATATAATTCTAGCTTTATTTTGCTTTTTACCTAGTATATCGAGAATAGTAAAGGTACATTCCAACCTGGATTTCCAGAAAATAGCTATTTCATTACAATTATAAATATTATTTATATAATATTGTATATATATACATCAAATTTCTTTTATTTTAATCTTTAATTCTGTATTTGTTTGAGTTAATGAAATTTCTTTGAAT